GACGACGTATCGCCCTTGACCGCAGGTTCCGTATAAACGATTTCGCGCACCAGCGTGGTCGGCAGCTCGACGGAGATCGCTTTGTCGTTGTAGAACACCACTTCGCAAGCCATTCCGTCCTCGAGGTAGTGCAGCGCGTCGCCCATCATTTCCGCTTCGACTTCGTACTGGTTGTAGTCGGTGTCCATGAACACATACATCGGGTCGGCGAAGTACGAATAGGTGACTTCCTTGCGATCCAGCACGACCACGTCGAACTTGTCGTCGGCCTTGTACACGGACTCGCTGCCTGCCCCGGACAGCAGGTTCTTCAGTTTCAGCTTGACGACCGCGGCGTTGCGGCCCGATTTGTTGTATTCGGTCTTTTGTACGACCATGGGATCGTTGCCGATCATTATGACGTTGCCCGTGCGCAGTTCCTGAGCGGTTTTCATAACACTGTCCTGTCCGATAAATGGATATGCCGAATCGCTGACGGCACGTCCCCGCATTGGACTGTCCGGCAGGCGAGTCTAAGCGCTTGAATAAGCTTCTAAAAACCTATTATTTTAACGTATTTTGAACGAATGCGGCCAGATGTCCGGCGAGATCGCCGAGCGCGGCGAGTTCGTCCGCCCACGCGCGCGCGCGCGCATCGAACGCGCTCCGGTGCCGGATGAAATCGTGCCAGTCGGGCGCGCCGTGCGTCGGACTGCGGTTCCAAGCGTGCCAGAAGCGCGTCAATGCGTCGCGTGGGGCGGGTGCGAGTCCCGCGCCGATAGGCGCGAGGGCCGCGTCCAGCTTCGGCAGGTGGGCTTCGTCCGCCTGCGGGTAGATATGCCAGACGAACGGCTTGCGGGCCCATTGCGCGCGTACGAACGAGTCCTCGCCGCGCACAAAATTGACGTCCGTGCTCCACAGCAGCCGGTCGTAGCCGGGCTGGTCGGTGAACGGCAGCGCATGCGCGCTTAGCGCGCCGGCGCTCGCGCTCGTGCCCGCCGCAAACGCGCGAGCTCTGGCCGGGTGACCGAAGAATCGGGCGATCGAGCTGGATACCCGTCCCTGCGGAACCAGCAGTACCAGCGGTTCCGATGCGTCGCGCCATTGCTCGAGCAGTGCGTCGAGCGCGGGATTTTCGTAGGCGAATAGCGACACGATTGTCGCCGCCGCGTCCGGTGGCGGCAGCCCGAGCGCTGCCCACCAGCGTGTGCGCTCGGCCGCCGATTCGACGAACGCGCTGCGCTGCGCGTCGAGCCCGCGCTCGCGGAGCACCCCGCCGGTGTACGGCCCGAGCCCGGGAAAAAAGAACGTCTTGGTCAACGCATGGCGCGGGTGTGGCGAAGCGCGCAGGTGGAAATCGGCCACCCAGTTTTCCGATGACAGGTATTCGAGGTTGATCCAAGCAGGTTGCGGCGAACGTTGGGCCATTGCGGCGAGGTACGACGCGGGCAGGTCGCACGCGAATGCCTCGATGACCACATCTGCGATGTCCCGCACCGGCATGCTCGACTGTGCGAAGCGGGACGCGTGCCAGCGCTCGACGGTGACGGCGCCGAGCATCTGCCGGTCGCGCCCGGCGTTCAGGCTCGGCGCGAGGCGTGCGAGCGTGGCCAGGTCGTCGATGAGCAGACGCACCCGCCAGCCATGCTCGGCCGCGAGCTGTCGGGCGAGGCGCCAGCAGACGGCGGCGTCGCCGAAATTGTCGATTACCGTGCAGAAAATGTCGCACGCAAGCGGTGAGCGCGCAGATACCGATGGGCCGGGGCGGGAAGGCATGGAACGCGTGCGCGACGCGCAGATCGCTTGATTAATGGTCTAAACTTCTTATTTTAGAGCAGACATCCCGTGCGACGCACGGATCGATTCCCATATTGGCTGCATGACTGAACCGTCCGCCCCTTCGTCCAACCCTTCGCCCGCTACCACCGAGCCCGACACGGGCTTCGATCCTAAGCGCATCATCACGCAGTTGCCGCACCTGCCAGGCGTGTACCGCTACTACGATGCGCAGGGCGTGGTGCTGTACGTGGGCAAGGCGCGTGACCTGAAAAAGCGCGTGTCGAGCTACTTCACGAAGACGCTCGTATCGCCGCGCATCGCGCTGATGGTCCAGCGCATCACGTGCATCGAAACCACGGTCACGCGGTCCGAGGCCGAGGCGCTGCTGCTCGAGAACAATCTGATCAAGGCGTTGGCGCCGCGCTACAACATCCTGTTTCGAGACGACAAGTCCTATCCGTACCTGAAGCTGACCGGGCATCGCTATCCGCGCATGGCCTACTATCGCGGCGCGGTCGACAAGAAAAATCAGTACTTCGGGCCGTTCCCGAGCGCTTGGGCGGTACGCGAGAGCATCCAGATCCTGCAGCGCGTGTTCCAATTGCGCACCTGTGAGGACTCGGTGTTCAGCAACCGGACCCGCCCCTGTCTGCTGCACCAGATCGGGCGCTGCACCGCGCCTTGTGTCGGCGCGATCAGCGAAGAGGACTATGCGCGCGACGTGACCCATGCCGCACGTTTTCTGCAGGGTCGTCAGAACGAAGTGATGAAGGCGCTTGAGGACAAGATGCACAATTATGCGGCCGAGTTGAAATTCGAGCAGGCGGCCGCGGTGCGCAACCAGATGAGCTCGTTGTCGAAGGTGCTGCATCAGCAGGCGATCGAGGTCGGGTCGGACCGGGGCGGCAGCGATGTGGACGTATTGGCCGTAGTCGCGCGGGGGGGACGAGTGTGCGTGAACCTGGCAATGGTGCGCGGCGGGCGCCATCTCGGCGACAAGGCTTATTTTCCTTCTCACATCCAAACCGCGCAGGATGCCGACGGTGTGGAGGACCTTGTGGACGCGTTGGACGTCGCGGCCGAGCTTGTCGCGCAGCCACCCGATGTTGCAGCGGATCTCGATATTCATGCGGGCGTTGGTGCGGATGCGGATGCCGGCGTCACGCGCTCCGGCGCCCGCGAGCCGCGGGACGCGGCGTCGAGCCGCGACGCATGCGCACACACCGAAGCGGCGCGGGACAGGATCGAAGCGCAGGTGCTCGATGCATTCATCGCGCAGCACTATATCGGCCATCCGGTGCCGCCGGTGATCATCGTCAGCCATGCTCCGGCCACGCGCGGGCTGGTCGACGTGCTCGCGCAACAGTGCGGACACAAGGTCACGCTGATCCGCCAGCCGCAAGGCCAGAAGCGGGCATGGCTGTCGATGGCCGAGCAGAATGCGCGACTCGCGCTGGCGCGGCTGCTGTCCGAGCAGGGCTCCCAGCAAGCGCGCACGCGCGCGCTTGCACAAGCGCTGTCGATCGACATGGACGATCTGTCACCACTGCGCATCGAGTGTTTCGACATCTCCCATACGATGGGAGAGGCGACGCAGGCTTCATGCGTTGTCTACCACCATCACAAGATGCAATCGGCCGAGTACCGGCGCTACAACATCACTGGGATTACGCCTGGCGACGACTATGCGGCGATGCGCCAGGCGCTCACGCGGCGCTATGAGAAGATCGTGTCCCAGCTGGCCAGTGCACAAGCGGGCGAGGCGCCGGAGGTCGACGAGCAGCGGGCCGGATCGGCTGCGCCGGACGATGCACGTGGACGTGTGGCGTTTACTGAGCCGGGCGCGGCCGGTGGGGTGCTAGCGCATATCGTGCTGATCGACGGCGGCAAGGGGCAGGTCGAGATCGCCCGACAAGTTTTCACGGAACTGGGGCTCGATATCGGCATACTGGTCGGGGTCTCGAAAGGTGAAGGTCGCAAGGTCGGGCTCGAGACGCTCGTGTTTGCGGACGGCCGGCCGGCGCTCGAGTTGGGCAAGGAAAGCGCCGCGTTGATGCTGGTTGCGCAGATCCGCGACGAGGCACACCGCTTCGCCATCACAGGGATGCGCGCCAAGCGTGCAAAGGCACGGCACAGCTCGCGCCTCGAGGAGCTCGAGGGGATCGGCGCGAAACGCCGGCAGCGCCTGCTCGCGCGCTTCGGCGGACTGCGAGGCGTGATTGCGGCAAGCGTCGACGAGCTGGCCAGCGTCGACGGGATTTCACGTTCGCTCGCCGAGCAGATCTATCAGCAATTGCACTGAGCGTGGGCCTTTGCATCACGTCGGGGCGTTCCGTGCAGGCCGGCTTTGCAGGCCGCTGCATAACCGCTTTCCGGCATGGCTTGCGGCGCGTGGGCCGGGCGTTGGCTTGTGACCTGCGGGATCACGCGGCACAATGACAGTCCTGCGCAATCCTTCAACGTTAGTTCGCCTCGATGCCTTTTAATTTACCCATTTTTCTGACGTGGCTGCGGATCGTATTGATCCCGCTGATCGTTGGCGTGTACTACCTGCCGGACACGGTGCTGGGCGCGCAGAGCAAGAACGAAGCGGCGGCGGCCATCTTTATCCTGGCCGCGCTGACCGACTGGTTCGATGGCTTCCTTGCGCGCAAGCTCAACCAGACCTCGGCGTTCGGCGCATTTCTCGATCCGGTCGCGGACAAGCTGATGGTCACCGCGGCACTGCTGGTGCTCGTGCATCTGATGCGGCTGGATTCGGCGATTGCGCTCGTGATTGTCGGCCGCGAGATCGCCATTTCGGCGTTGCGCGAATGGATGGCGCAGCTCGGTGCATCCAAGAGCGTTGCGGTCAACTCGCTGGGCAAGTTTAAGACCGCGTGCCAGATGGCGGCGATCCCGATGCTGCTGTACTTCGCACCGATCGGCGTACCCGGCCTGTTCGTGATCGACACGCGCGTATGGGGCGAGTGGCTGATCTATTTGGCGGCAGTGCTGACGATCTGGTCGATGCTCTATTATATGAAGCTCGCGTGGCCGCAGATCCGCGATCGTACCGCGTAATTGGATTTTGGCGACCCCGCTTGACACCATCCGGCGCTTTCAGCATAATCTCGAACTCTGCTGAGCACGCCAATGCGTGAACAGTGGTAGCATCGTGCGGGAGTAGCTCAGTTGGTAGAGCGCAA